GCTTCCTTTTCCCCACATAATCTCCAGCAGCTAGTAGGTGTTTTTTCTGTGATGGTGTAATAAAGAACCTAATAACATTCTTCCAACAAAATTCTCTCCACATGGCTGAGCTTGTAGATTTCCATTGTGTTTTACAAATTTTCTCCCAATCCTCATCTGAGACATTAAAATTCCCTTCCATTTTCCATTTGTCTCTAACATAAAATGTGTTTTCGGGTACAGTTTGGAGAAATCCATTATATAATTTTGAGATAATCTTATTACTTCTAAAACTTCTGAAACTTCTAAATTATTTGAATTTCAATATTTCTGGTTTGATATTACATTCAATATAGTGCCTTACTTGAAGATATCTATAGAAGTCACTTTGATTAAGCCCATATTTTCCCTTTAACGATTCAAAGCTTTGGATTTTGCCCTTGTTGAAAAATGCGTAATAATTAGAAATTCCTAGCTTAGTCCAAATTTGAAATCGGTCATCTATTCTGTTCGGGACAAAATCAGTATCAAAGGCACACCATCTTAATATTTTCAATGCATCTTCCAAACCACCCATTTTCTTAGCTTGATGCCAAATTTTAAATAATAAATTGATCCATGAGTTTGTTTCCTTAATCGTTCTACTTAGTTTGTTATCAGCAATAAGGGCACATAACGGAGACGCTCCCATCATCCCTCTTTCTATTTCAATCCATCTTGCTGAATATATTGGACTACTCCAGCAGACCAATGGCCTTAATTGGGCCGCATAATAATATTATTGTAATTATGGGAGGTCTAACCCACCTTTTTCTTTACTTAATAGTAATGTTTTAAATCTTATTCTGGTTTTTTTCCCCTGCCATAAAAATCTAGATATTAATTTATTCCATTCTGTAAATTGTTGATTCGAAATTTATACTTGAAGTGTCTGATGTAAGTATAACAATTTTGGTAGAATGATCATCCGCACTGAATCAACTTTGGAACTTAGACTATACAAAGGAATAAGGTTCCAACGTAATCAATCAGATTTTATTTTTTTTATTCAAGGGACCGCAATTTAAATCAAATAATTTTGAATGGTCTCCAGACAAATTTACTCCTAAATAATTAATTGATTTTGTATCCCATTTAAAATTATATTTCTCTTTAATTTGTCTAGGTGGATCATAATTAAATGTTAATACTTGGGTTTTTCAGACGTTCAGTTTTAATTAATTGATTTTGTATCCCATTTTAAAATATATTTATCTTTAATTTGTCTAGGTGGATCATAATTAAATGTTAATACTTGGGTTTTTCAGACGTTCAGTTTGTAACCAGATATGGCCTCATACCCCTCAAGGAAGTTAAATAGTATAGGAAGGGACTTTGTAGGTTGGCACATATATATCAATACATCGTCTGCAAAGAGGGCTAATTTATGCTCTCCGGATCCCATATCCATCCCTTTAATTGAATGGTTTTGCCTAATCCATTGGCTCAGTGGTTCAATAAATATGGCAAAAAGGAGTGGTGAAATGGGGCACC